GTATGCGAAAGAAGAGGAGACAATAGCATTATAGTGAAATTAGTCAATAACGTGAACACACCTGTACGTAACCATGAGTCAGCTGCCACGATCTATCTTACCAGAGCGCCATGTAAATGAAAACTCATCAACGCGGAATTTTTCTGTAGTTGTAGACAGTAGCGCATTTCTAGCCCCGTCAGAATGAGTACTTTACGTACGTGAGGCTCAAGGATGCAACTGACAGTTACTTTACTGTTTTTATTGTTGTTGTTGTTGTAGCTATCTAGATCTGCTAGTATCTCAGTCGTTGTCGTCAAGCTCAACTAACGGAAGACCCAACAAGCGTGCAGCCTCTATAGGGTCTGTCCATAGGGACAAAGCCGTTAGCTGTGTGTGGTTTTCCGGGCATGCGAAGAGATGTTTAGGGTCGTGGGTTGTCGCTCCGCATTCGGGACACTCATTTGGGACTTTTGCTTCTAATCTGCTCAGGTATGAGTTCAACCTGCTGCAGTAGTCAGAACGAAGTTGGGCTATTATGGCCCGAGTCTTCCGAGGCAGACGAAGCTCCGTCTCGTCTACGTCAGGTGGTTATGTACCCAGAATGGCATTCACAGTTCTGGAGTCTACGTAACTTGAGACTGACTCCCTGTGAATGCCGCTAAGGGCCTGTCGATATGCTGATGGGTCCAAATGTTGCTTTATGAGCCTCTGGACTTCGTCCGTCAATTCGTATAGATGCCTCCTGACATGCCTTGGTGAGGGCTCCTCTGCAAGCAAGTGTCTGTTCGGGTTACCACGTCTGTGGCTTCCTACTAAGAATTGCTTAAAGAGCATTGTGTTGTGCTCCCTTATGGGGAGCATTTGCGTCTAGTCATGTAGGTGATATCAGAAGACATTCGGTCGCTGTACGAAGTGCTGTGTTCTGTTCTACTTGCAGCTTCATCCACTGCGTCCTACTGGTCCCCGGCGTCTACACTGGTGCTGCGTAATTTAGAACTGGCCGGCCAATAGCCTTGTATGTTACCAACAAGGTTTCTTGGTCTTTGCCCCAGGTACTGCCGGCTAGCGACTAGAGGAGAAGGAGAGCAGACTGTCACAAGTTACTCCGAGTATTTTTGGGTTATTCACCGTCGGAATTGGCGTGTCATCAAAACGTAAATACCCAGCGGTAGTCTGATCTCCTTCGTCCAGGTGGTGAGCAAGGTAGCTGAGGATTTTGTAGGGGAGAGAGTTAGGCTCCTAGCAGTGAAGAAGCGAGAAAGCTCGGAGAGGTATCTGTTTACTTTCGAGCACAAGTCACCAATTCCATTCCCAGACTGCCTCTGGTGGTCGAGGGAGCTTGAGTAGACTGTGTGAGTTTGCATAGGGAGCGTCAGATTGGCAACCGGTGCGTCGACGGAGTCAATGAACGTTGGCCAACTCTCAAATTTGACGCAAGTAGATCCGTCACTGGTTACAGTTGTATTACCATGCCTTAATACAAGACAGGACAATTGATAGAATGTGATAATTTATCACATTTTTTATCACTGTCTTTGAAAATGTTAAGGCAGTGAAGAGGGAATGAGAAAAATGTGAATATATAAGTAAAAAATGTGTGAATGTATTGCTAATGTATCTGCAAAATTGACAGGTGCAAACCCCAAATACGCGATCATAGACAGCACCTCATTTTTGTATGCAAACGCAGCATCTTCATTTTGGCACCGTAACGTCAATTTCATCCTTGAACGTCACGTATGCAAAGTACACAATCTGACGGGGCTATTTAGATTTTCCCGTGTCAGCTGATTTTTTCCTTCTATAGATAGTTGCCAGTTCGTCAGTGTTGCAGATGGTAAAAAAGCTCTATGTTTCTTTTAAAAATGAATTTAAAACATTTAAAATGTACTATCTTATTCTCTTGCTGTTCAATAGTTTACATTTGCTACGATCAAGGCGCATTAAGCAGGTTTTGATTTTTTTTCTATTTCGTGAAAAATATGAACTGTCAATTTTTGCTACATTCATATTGTGTTGAATACTGCGGCAACGCGAACAACGACAAAATGGCAGAATGTTCGATGAAAGACGTAGAATATCGAAAATCAAGAAACGTCAAGCGGAGGAATACTGCGAACAGCGAGAGAATGAGAGAATGTGCGATAGACGGCAGGACGTTCTAGAGTTGCCATGAGTGCGAGCGTAGGTACATAAGGCCACTGCTGCAGCGCGCACCAAGTCAGTTGCGAATCAGCAAAGTACAACTTCAGATCAATTGTATTAACAAGTTTTGTAAAGTGTTTTAATTGCCTAAGCGAGTATTGTTCATTGTTGTTATGCAAAACAAGTATCTATTGTAAAGTGTTTGTTGTACAATAAAGTTAATTGTACTGTAATTTGGTCATCTTGAGCATTTATTTAAAAATCCAGCGATACGAACCGAGGAATTTTGGTAAATCCGTCAACTAAGGCAAAGAACATAGTGGCGCGAGAATAGCGAAGAAGGAGACAAGAAACGTCAAAACATAGTGAAGCAACCGTCAGCTCAGAAAGCAACGAAACCATTTTTTTTGTTTTCGTCGTTGCTTTTTTCGCTTTTCGCTCCACTATGCGCTGTCACATTGAAAACATTTGTTTTTGCCGCTATTATCCGAAAATGTCTTGTCGCTTTCTTTGCCGCGTCACTAGGCATCTTCCCTTGAGCTCGTAAAAGCCTCGTAAAGCTCGTAAATTTACGAGCCTCGTAAAAGAACTGTCAAAATTTGTATGGAGCTCTATTTACGAACCCCTCGCAAATTTACGAGGCAAATTTGATGCGCAAACGACTTCGTAAACTTCAGTGTTCCCGAGGGGCCGAAATTTGTATACTAAAATGTATAATAAAATAATGAAAATGAATGAAAGAAATCATACGCGAATAAAATGAATGGATTTCATCCACGAACTGTATTGACATAGATTTTCTGCTAATTTCCGTCATTTTTAATTGTATTTTAGCCAAGAGTGATAAACACATGATGGCGGGATTTTATGGAAAATACTGCGAAACAAAAATTGCTGCACAAAGTCCTAGTTGATCTGTCAAACAGTCACTTTACGCACCTATTTTCACCTTTTCGTAAAGGGGGCGTTCCAATAAAAGCCTCGTAAGCTTACGAGTTTTACACGGTTTAAGACTTAACGAGTTAAAGGGAATCCCCTAACTATGTTCTTTGCCTAAGTAAGGATAATCGTAACATTTGGTGTCAGAATTGGGATTTCTAAATAAATCCCATTGGAAAAAGTTGTATAATGACAAAAATTTAGGACCTACAGATCGAGGAACTCGCGGGTAGGCGCGAGAATATACCTGCAGTAAGGCATGCTTGTCGTAAAAGGCGACTAAAATCCACTTGGTGTGTGTGCCCCGAACGCATTCGTGCGTCTCGGGAAGTAGGAGGATGGCGGGAAGTATACCCTCTGAAATACCCACCAACCCTAGCAGTTTGGGACAAAACTGTAATTATGGAGAAGGCACAACGTAAGGACGTAAGTACTTAAGGTGGTACCCACGTTTGTGGAGATCCACCCACACCTGCGAAAGTAGGTATGATTAAACTTCTTAGTGGTTAATCCACCAGAGCACGGCGTTGAAGTTCGAGCAAGAGCTCTAAAAGATGTGCTTGAGGTCGGAGCGGAATCAGTGCATTCCGCCCAGACCTAAAAGAGTGGGAAGGACCAGAAGCTGGAGCGGAAACTACTGCTTTCCGCCCAGACCTAGAAGATGGCGATGGACTAGAAGCTGGAGCGGAAACTACTGCTTTCCGCCCGGGTGACTTAGGCCGGAATGGAATCAAATGCATTCCATCCAGGTTCTAGGAGCGGATCTTAACCCTGGCGTCCCGCCTCTTCAACACGAGTAAAACGGATTGGAAATGCAAACATTCCAACCGCCTGAAATCAGGCAGCATTCTCGAACGTTGCGCAGAGGAAAGTCTTGGCGATGGCCAACTTACGGATCTAAATGGAATCATCCACGTGCTGAGAGGAGTACTAAACTCTTTACTCGTTGTGTACCTCCAAAACTACTTCAAGTTAAAGCCGAGTCCAGTAAGGCTTTAAAACCTGGCATACTGGAAACCCGTTTAAGATAAGTCTGCTATGAGCTGGTGATACTAGTATTCCGTTACCTGAGTATGCCTGAAAGACATCAAGCAGAAATGGATTTCGGGCTAATGCTAGTGTCGCCCCCGTCCCGTTGAAACTCTGGCTAGACTCAGGAAACGCTCTCTATTCGTCACCGTTCAGTCGGCTGTGTAGGCTCAGTTGAAGCGATCCTGACTAATACCGATCTGGATCTGATTCAAGACCCCATAAGGGCTTGTCTCAACCCTCGCCATGGCCTAACTGTTTACATAGACAACCATGGGATCAAATAGGTAACTACGCATACGAATAGAGATAACGGCCCTGAGTGGGGAACCAACAATCAAAATGGATTAATAAAAACCACAATTAACAAAAACGCTACACCAAATAACTCAAGTTTGGAAATCTGTAGAGAAGGCGACTTAGATCCCTTTAAGAGGAGCTAAAAACTATCTCGCTCCCCTGTGACAACCCCAACGTGCGGAACTCCCCCAGTGGATGGGTTCCATAACTCTAACGAAGTGGGTCTGCCCGCAAAGCAACCAAAGGTTTTAGAAAACTTAGGAGGGGGAACCACATTTGAAAGGCTAGGGGCGCACATAAAATGTCTTGCGTCGATGCTTAAGGAAAAAGACGGCAAACGGCGTACTATCCACCAACCGATGAGGGACGTTATCGAGAATATCCGGTCTCTATACGAAAAGGCTGCTGCAGAAAAATGCAAGTGCAAAGATAACGAGGCAGTCTGTGTTATTGGAAGCACACAAACGTCGCCATGGCCAAGAGCAAAGCCTGGCTCCGTTCGGAGAAAAGCGGCTACTGGAGCTGTCGGCTCCCCGGCGAATAAACGCGGAAGGAACGGAGGAAGTCAACAGGGATGTCCACAACCCGTAGAAAACGGGCCTACAATGGATTCTACGGCCACAGTGCAAGCAAATAAAGACAGCGAGTGGACCGAGGTCAAAAAGAAGAAAAAACGGCCCAAACCGAAGAATGTTGCCACCACAGGAAAACTGAGGCCAGACGCAATCATCATAGAGAAAAAAGGTGAAAGCTCGTATGCCGACATCCTAAAAAAGGTTAAGAGTGATGAGAACTTTAAGAGTTTTGGGGATTCCGTATCCAAAATACGACGCACCCAGAAAGGCGATCTTCTTATCGAACTCGCGAAATCATGCCCAAAGTCGGCGGAATTAAAGGCCCTTGTGAGTGCTACCCTAGGGGACGATGCTTCGGTAAAGACATTTACTCACCGAATCCTGGTAGAATGTAAAGACATCGATGAGGTTACAACCAAAGAAGAGGTACACAATGCTATTAAATCATTGCCTGGTCTTGAAGGTATTGAGAGTTCAGATATAACTGGTCTGCGCCCTGCTTATGCTGGCACTCAAACAGCTACTATTAGCTTACCTGCTCCAAAAGCTAAGAAACTTATACAGTTTGGGAAAGTAAAGGTAGGATGGGATAACTGTCGCATCCGCGAAAGGGTCCAGCTGAAAAAATGCTTTAAATGCCTCCAGTATGGCCACATGTCCCGTAATTGCGGTAGCTCATTTGACCGGTCGAATCAGTGCTGAAAGTGTGGCACTGAGGGGCACTTCGCTAAAGATTGTAAAAAATAATCCACAGTGTATTCTGTGTAGAGCGGAAAAGAGAGAGAACATAGACCATATTACAGGCAGTTATAGATTCCCAGTTTTTAAGAAAGCTCTTACAAACAGGAAAAAATGAGAATAGTCCAAATAAACCTCAATCACTGTGAAGCAGCGCAAGATCTACTATCACAAACAGTAAGGGATCTTCAGGCAGACATGGCGATTATAAGTAAACCTTATAGGTGTAAAGATGACTGTGCGTGGGTTTGCGATAGTAAACAGGGTGCAGCTATATGGCTCTGTGGTGGACTCGCATTTCAAGGAAGGCACAGCATGGGTGAAGGTTTCGTTCGAGCTGAGGTAAACGGAATTAGCATTTTTAGTTGTTATGCAAGACCTAGCCTTACAAAAGAAGAGTGTACCCTTATGCTGCGTAGCATTGCTGAAGAAGCAAACGGGAAATCCCCGCTAATTATCGCCGGTGACTTCAATGCGTGGGCAACAGAATGGGGTAGCAGACTAATAAACAAAAGAGGCGAGCTGCTGCTTGAAACTTTTGCCCAACTCGGCGTATCAATAGTAAACAGCGGGTCCGCATACACCTTCCGCAAAATGGGAACTGGGTCAATTATTGGCATAACGCTGGCGAGTGACTCCTTGGCCCAAAAAATTAATTGGAGAGTTAGTGAGGAGTATACCCACAGCGACCATCAGGCAATAATAATGGATATAACTCTGTGGCGACCCAAACAGATGCCAAATCTGACAGGCCCAAAATGGAAAGACAGTACGTTAGATGGAGAGGTCCTAGCCTGCATGATGGAAGAGTTCCAACACAAAGTTGGCTCGGTAGAGAGCGAGGTTGACCACCTGGTTCGTAACCTCGCATGCGCCTGTGATGCTGCTATGCCTCGAAGAGTGGTGAGGAAACAAAATTCCCCATGCTATTGGTGGAATAACGATATAAAAATACTTAGACGTCAGTGTCTGAGTGCTAGACGCAGAATGCAGCGTAGCAGAGGGAGGCCAGACTTCAACGAAAACCTACAATCTCTAAGAACGGCGCGGAAGAGCTTAAAAAACGCCATAAAAGTAAGCAAACGTGAAAGCTTTAAGAAAATATGCGAAGAAGCGGATGTAAACCCGTGGGGCACGCCCTATAGAGTAGTAATGGCAAAAACTAAGGGCAAGAAAGCACCGAGTATCACGTGCCCAGAAAGGCTGCGCGATATAATAACGACTCTATTTCCACAAAGGGAAGAAGTTGTACCAAACTGTACACGATACGAAATTGTTGATGTCCCAGTTATTACGGTTAACGAATTAGAGTCCGCATGCAGGAAGATCCAAGACGGAAAAGCCCCTGGGCCAGACGGAATACCCAACAAGGCTTTAAAAGCTGCAATTAAAATGAGGCCAGATTTATTTGTAAATGTGTTTCAGACTTGTCTTAATGAGGGCATTTTCCCGAAAAGATGGAAGGTCCAAAACCTAGTCCTAATACCAAAGGGAAATAAGCAATCTGGGGAACCCTCGTCCTATCGGCCCATATGCCTGTTGGACACACTGGGAAAAATCCTCGAAAAAATTATTTGCAACAGGCTTACATCGATCGCAGAAGAGAGACGCTTTCTGTCGCCACACCAGTTTGGCTTCAGGAAATCTCGTTCAACAGTAGATGCTGTTAAATCAGTGGTTGACATAGCCAAAGAAGCCATCGAAGGGAAAAGGTGGCGTGGAGGCAAAAAGGAATACTGTGCTGTTATAACGCTAGATGTGAAAAACGCATTTAACACTGCGAGCTGGCAGCACATAATGTAAACCCTAATCAAAATGTAGGCCCCGAATTACATTATCAGAATAATTAGGTGCTATCTCTCCGAACGGGAACTAAAGTACCGGAGCGACAGAGGAATAGAGGCGTACAGTGTTTCCGCGGGGGTACCCCAAGGATCCGTTCTCGGGCCTCTCCTGTGGAACTTAATGTACGACGAGGTTCTATGCATCGATTTGCCTCCTCGGGCAAAAATAATAGGATTCGCAGACGACATAGCTGTAGTAATAGTAGCGAAGCATATACAGGATATTGAAAGGAAAGCCAGCGAAGCTATAAAGAGAGTGAAGGCATGGCTATCATCAAGATATCTAGAACTCGCTGATCACAAAACAGAGGCTGTATTGATAAGTAGCAGAATGGCCATAGAGACAATAACACTCAGTGTTGGATCAGAAACTATAATATCAAAGCCCGCAATCAAATATTTGGGGGTAATGATTGACGGCCGTTTAAACTTTAAGGCCCACCTGGAGTATGCAGCAAAGAAAGCATCGAATTTACAGGCATGCTTATCTAGAATGATGCCAAATATCGGCGGTCCCAAACATAGTAGAAGGGTATTGCTTAGTAGAGTGGTCAGCTCAGTCTTACTCTACGGTGCTCCAATTTGGGCTGAAGCAATGAGCCTAAAATATCATGGGAAGATACTCACATCTGTGTATTGCCTAAGCGCACTAAGGACTATTTGTGGATTCCGAACCATATCTGACGAAGCATCCTTCGTAATTGCCGGACTGATTCCCGTAGATATCCTGGCAAACGAGATGCAAAGCGGGTATCTGTGGGAAGTACCAGTTTAAACCGAAAAGAAGTTATAGAGCAGGAAAGATGTCGCTCTATGGAGATCTGGCAAAAGCGTTGGGATGAATCGGAAAAGGGTAGGTGGACTCATATGCTTATTCCATGCATTAAAAACTGGCTGGAAAGAGCCCACGGAGATTTAAACTACTACTTGACACAGTTTCTTTCGGGACATACCGAGAGTATCTAAAAAGATTTGGGCATGGAGATTCCCCACACTGTCCGACTTGCACAGGCCTTGCTGAAAACGCGGAACACATAGTATTCTTTTGCCCTCGCTATACCCCTGAAACCCGAAATATACTGCAGGGTAGCAACATTGTAGACTACATGTTAGAATCAGCAGAGAACTGGCATAAAATGTGCGCACACATCTCTGGAATTCTTAAAGATCTGAACAAGCTAGAACCGGTTAAATAACGTAGCGAGCCTGCTGGCCAACCAGCCCCGTGAGGTAATACCTTAAATGGCAGTGCCGCGGGGAGAGTGGTTAGTGGAGAGGTTTCAGTACGCAGGTGTAGCTGTGAGGCTGCAAGTCGTGCATACTACTATGCCGGTATAGTAGTACTCATGGGAGTTCCCTCTTCACGGGCGTCATCCCAGAAAAAAAAAAAAAAACAGGAGTTGGAAAAGAGAAATTTAGCAGCCTTAGGAAGAAAAGTGGAGTTATTATCACGGCGGCGAGAGGGACGCTGTAAGCCATATTATAAAAGAAATGATTAAGAGTGGTGTAATTGAGCCATCAGCGAGTCCATGGAGCTTGCCGGTAGTACTCGTGAAGAAGAAGGATGGCCAAATGCGGTTCTGAGTTTACTACGGGAAACTAAACGATGTAACGAAAAAGGGCAGCTATCCACTGCCCAGGATCGATGATACTCTGGACTCGTTGACTGGCACGACATGGTACTCAACGCTCGACCTTAAGTGCGACTATTGGCAAGTGGAGGTAAGTGAGGAAGACAAGGATAATACAGCCTTTTAGCGTTGGAGATGGTCTTTGGCAATTCAGGGTGATGCCTTTTGAATTATGCAACGCTTCTGCCACTTTTGAAAGACTTATGGACCATGTGCTCAAGGGACTGCATTGGAAAACATGTTTGTTGTATCCAGACGGTAGTAACGTATAGGCTAAAAGCTTTGAGGAACACCTGAAGAATTTGGAAGAGGTTTTCCAGATGATAGCTGGCGCAGGTCTCAAACTAAGTCCTAAAAAGTGCTCACTGTTCAAGAAGGAGGTGAACTATTTTGGGCACAAGGTGACAACAGAGGGCGTCTGCACTACGACGGAAAAGATAGAAGCAGTAAAGGACTATGCACTTATTATCGCCGGTTTATTGCGAATTTTGCCAGCGTTGCTAATATCCTCCACGAGCTCAGAAGGAAAAATAGACCCTCGAGTGGAACAACGAACAGGAGGAGGCTTTCCAAGGTTTGAAGGAACGGCTATGTACTGCCTCTATGCTAGCGTATCCCCTTCCAGGTGGAACACTTATTTTGGACACGAATGCTAGCGGTTATGAGATAGGAGGTGTATTGTCGCAGATAATTGATGGGCAGGAGAAGGTGGTTGCCTAGTATAGCCGATCGATTGAAAAACCATAGAGGAACTACTGCGTAACTCGGAGAGCTTCTAGCGTTTGTGGAGTGCGTCAAACATTTCCACAAATACCTCTAGGGGCAACATTTCCGAGTTCGAACGGATCATGTAGCGCTGAAGTGGTTACTACAGTTCAAGAATCTAGAAGGACAGCTAGCTCGGGGGATTGAGAGACTGCAAAGTTATGACTTCGCTATTGAACACCGCAAGGGAAGTGTCCACGAAAATGCTGATGCCATGTCCCGTCGACCATGTAGCCTGGAATCTAAACACTTGTAACGACAGCCGATTTAATATGAATAATTATGCATATATATGTATATACATAAATATATGGGGATATATGCATGAACATGTGTATATCTAGGCATGCATATTCTAAGCCAAAGAAGCAACCCTTTTCGAACCACCCCATACGGTTAAATTCGCCCTGGTGATAACAGTAGAAGCAGTATAAGTAAACAAAATAAAATGTTTCCACTCGCTACCTTAAAGGCGTAAAGTCCAAAGTCAAAATAGCGGGTGCGATAGAACTTGTTCGATGTCGTGATTTGCGATCTTGCTATTGGCTGGCCTGATCATGTGTAGATGAGTGTGCTTGTAAACAAAAGGATAACCGCAGAATCACCGTAACCAAAACAATATGCTTAAATAGCGAGCTGAAGCTGAGTCGAGATTCTTTGAAGAAAGTCAGTATTGAAAGCAATAAGTGCTCGACCGCGAATTTTTATACCCGCCAAATCGGTT